CCTAATGTAATTTACAAAATAGACTGTTTGAATTGTGATAACACATACATAGGTCAAACAGGACAATATCTAAAGAAAAGAATATACGAACATAAGCATAGCCTAAGAAAAAATAACGAAAATGGTAGAGCATTAGCACAGCATGCATAACAGAAGTTGCATAATTTTGATTTTGATAACACAAAAATACTGATTAGCGAGAGTAATTATAATAAGAGAAGAGTCCATGAAATGATACAGATTAAGAAGCATAACAATGGTATGAATTTCAGATCGGATACTGACAATCTTAGCGCAGTATATCATATATTAATTAAATGAAATAAACATAGAATATTAACTAACACCCGTTATATTGAAGAATTTTGCAAACCAAAAATAATATTTTCAGAATTCAAAGAAAAATAGCTGAAAGTAAAGGAAATCAATATAAACAATATTTTATTCGCTTTGTGTCCAAAATGGACAAAATTAATACTCCAAATGTATGCCAAGTCTTAAAGCAGCAACAACGCTACACGTGTAAGTAAAAATATTTAAGTATCTGAAGTGTTGCAATTGTGATGTATTTTAATGTGTGATATGATGAGGCTGTTGACGAACTGTGATTGTTTTTTAAATTAATGAATTTTTTTTTAACTATGCTATTTTATAAAAACTGATGATGGTGGAAAAATACACCGAAACGTATTTTAATTGATAAATAGAGACAATAAATGACTGAAACCCAGGAATTAATTTTGATTTGAAATTGAAACTCAGTCGGGAAAGTATATACAATTTCTAGATTTTGCCTAGTGTCTCTCACGAAGAGAAAGTGATTCAATGGGGTCAATAATGGCTCTTCTGCAGGAGGAGCCATGGCTAAATGGTGCCTGCTTGGACAAATTCAAACTTTAAGAAAGGGAATTGGAGGCACTCGAATGAGACTCTCTAGTCTTAGATAAGTTCTATATTGTTGAGGCGGATTCATTTTTTTACAAACTTCTTCTTGGGTATTTCGAATCAAAAATTTTTGTCTTTAAAAAAGTAAGCTTTTTGATAAATTATTCGATAAATAGGAGCACTATTTATCAACCTGTAATAAAACACGTGAGGAAATTCTGTCTTTTTTAAAGACAGAAATTATTGAGGCGAAATACCCAACAATAACTCTCTAGTCTGTTGCCTGCCTTTGAATTTGATGCACTTAAAACTCCAATTACTGTTTCGCAAAGATGCATTTTTTCCAAAAATTCGCTGAATTCAACAGCAGAGAAGAATTCCCGTCAGGATCAAACTAGTAGAGAGTTTCACTCGATTCCTTCCTGTTTCTCTTTGTCAGAATGTCTTCCAAAGATGCACAATGAACAACTGCACTGAACTCAACAGCAGTAAAGATCAAGTGACTAACGAGATTCACTAAAATGCCTCCAGTTGCTGTCTGGGAAGGTTTCGCTTTTCTCTGAAAGAAACAGCATTTAGTCAAAGTTTGGCCCGCAGGAGAGCGGCGATGATATGATAGATGGGCGACAATTTAGGGCCGAACTTGGACGAAAGGATAAGGTCCGAGATTGATTTAGTCCGGTGGGAAGTAATCCTTAATTTCGCAACATTACGGGTTTAGGATCAGCTCTAATTAATGAGGTAGGCGGCCGAGTTAATTTGTATCCTTTCGGTGATTGGAATTTGTGGCGCTGCAATAAGAAATTCATTTGCGGGCTGTTGGACGAGAATGCGGATAATAAAACGGCGATAGATATGATGATGTCTTTGATAAAAGGAAATTGAGATCCGGCAATTCGCCCAAACGATGTTGACTGATTCCCTCAATTATTGGAAACGGCAACGTAATTAAGTCCCGGCTATTTGTTTTATTAACCACGATCTGCCTGCTTTATTAATCGCACCGGAATGGCCCGGACCGTGCAATCAATATCCAGATTAATCAGGGAAACCAAAAAATCACTTGGAGTTTCCACTCTAATTTCCGGCACCAAATCCGAACTAGTTTTACCGGAAAAATCCCCAGCGAAAACTCGTTTAAATTCATCGGCCGAAGTCTCCGCTGATGGAACATTTGCAATTCGCACGGCCTTGCACTGTTCCATTTGTGACATAAAGAAACTCAGTTTCCGTCCCTATGCAGTTTTCAACATCGAGTCCACTGGGACCATTGAGAGCAGCAAAACGCTTTTGTGCAGCGAACATTCCTGTTTATATACGAGATCACATCGAAAAAAACCGGGGAATTGAATTCAATTACAGCCTCAAAAATTTTTCCTAAAACCTTCTTGGGGGGACGGTTTTAAGCGCCGTTTTCTGGAACAATAAAGGCGCCCATAAAACGCCTCCAGGGCGCCACAATAATTTTATTTTCTAATTCGTTTAGCGTGTTTTTGTCCCTTTGAAATTACGATTACGAGTTTTGAAGTGAACGAATTAATTTGTGGTACGACTAATCAAAAATTGTTTTTTCCTCTGTGTGGGGAAGGTGAAGGCAAATGGCTGATTTTTATCCGGACGTTCTTCTCACTTCTGTGTGTTTTCCAACTTCCAAAATGTTTTCATCGGGCAGCCAACATCCGGCGGTTTTACGATCCAACCAAACGAGTTTCCATCCGAATTTTGCACTTACTAATGGCCGTTGGTGTGACCATTGGAAATGCGTTGATTTATGCAATCAGACTGGACGGCTGGCATGGCTGGGCGCACAGTTTTCAAAAAAATTGGAGCGCGAATTAATATATTGATGTAAAAGCTTGAAACCGTCGCTGCCCTTTGACACAAACTGGGGCGGAATAATGGAAAAAGTGCAAAACAATGCAGGCAACGCGAACAAGTTTGCAGCAGTGGTGGAAGCTGGTTTTGCCAATGCTTTTAGGCGAAATTAACTGCACTCTTTGCAGTTTTTTGCAGGCTAATTGAGTGAAGGCTTGCATTCTCAATGCTCAGATTCTCAGTATAACCTCGATATTAATAGAGCTGATTTGCCAGTTGTTTATCAACAGCAGATTTGGATGACGGTAATTCAACCGGGGCTTGGGAATATCAAATTAACTAAACTATCTAATTGGTCGGCATGTTGACAAAGAGCAAGCGATTTACTCCGTTGGCTCGCTTTGTGAGATTGTTTTGTTTAAATTAACAGCGCACAATACAATTAACGGAAATAATCGGGAAAAACTCCCACGCAGAGCGAAAGTTTCGGAGGTTTGTTTGCGATGTGGAGGAAATGATTTTGGCAGATTTTCCTCAAACTTAAAAGTTCCCACTTATCCAGCTCAGCCGTGATTTCCATAATTCAAAGCTCACACCATTTGAATATTCATACACATAGAGCGTTGCCTTTAATTTGGTTGCGACCCTGGCTGAAAAGCCCCAGTTTAATGTGCCTGCTTGTTAGCCAGAATTTCCATTTTAACTGAGTCTTCTGTAGATTTTCGCCGAGTGCGATTCACACATTTGAATGGAACTTCTCAGCTACAATCTGGTTTAAGAAGACGAAGCTGAGAGGCGATAAAACAGCCTGGTCCGAATCGCTGTCGCTGTCAGCAACATTCGGGCTAGAATAATGCACGCCATCTGATTCTGACTTTTTGCCAACTACGCGCTGATAAATCAATCTTTCCGATTCTTTGTTTTAGTTTTTTTATTCGGAAGCTCAGCACAGCGACGACAGCGACT